GCTGAGGATCGCTGCGGCACGTTGCCTGTTTGAGATGAAGAGATGCAAGATGACGTTGTCAAGGTTGCAGCTTTGGCGTCGGCTCTATCGGGCTCATGAACTTGTCGATTTACGCCAACTCGCTCGGCACGTACCAGCTGTTCAAGCTCCTCTGTGTGCCCACCATCATTGTGATCAAGTATCTGAAAGCCGGCGAGGTTGTCTCGCGCAAGGTCATGGTGGCTCTGGCCATTCTCCTTGCCGGCGTTGGCTGTGCCACAGTAACCGATGTCACGCTCTCCTCGACTGGGCTCATGATCGGCCTTGGCGCAGTGGTCTCGACCTCGCAGTTCCAGATCTTTCAGGGCTCGTGCCAGTCGTCTGCTGGCGTCACCGCCATCCAGGCGACGGCATCTGTCACGCCGTACCAGGCGGCGTTTGCCGGAGGCATTGCGCTCTTCGTTGAGGTGCCGGGCAAAAACTCGGTACTCGACTATGAGATGAGCGCAACTGCGGCGGTGCTGATGGTGTGCTCGTGCGCTGGCGCGGTTGCAGTTAACCTCGCCGCCTTTGCGCTCATCGGCAAGACGTCTGCTGTTACGTATCAAGTTGTGGGCCATGCCAAGACGGTCCTCATCTTTACCGCCTCGTTCATCCTGTTCCCCTTCCACGGTGACGTTGTCTCCTCGCTCTTCAGCATCACGCTCGCCATTGCTGGCGCGGTTCTTTACGGTCACATCAAGGCCAAGGCCAAAGCAGGCGAGCCCGATGTACTGGACCTATGCATGTCGTGGGAATGAATTGCACGAGAGCCAATGGCTAGTAGCAGATGGAGTAGGACTGCCAGGGGGGGGGGGATTGGGTGTTTGTGTACACTGGCAGAACGCTTGCTGTTAATCGCGCTGTGGGCCATGCCAAGACAGTCCTCAACCTTACCGCCACGTCCAGCAGCTTGACCTTGCAAGACAACGTCAGAAACAGGTTCATCAAGGTCAAGGCCAATGCGGACGGGTCCGATGCTCTGCCCCTTGTTGCTTCCATCGCCTTAGCTTTCTCTTTCGCCTCTACCGTGCTTGTCTGCTTGCAACATGTCCAGAGTAGGGGTCAGAGGCATCATGGCCTCAGTAGTCCATTTGTGCGGCAGTATCGTAACTCGTGCCTCCGCCGGACATCGTCGATGACTTCTGCGGACATGCCCAACACGCTGCTGCGCTCGTGTGTGTCTCGATCAACGTCTGCTGGCCACTGCGTCTCTGTCTTGCCTATCTTCTGCTGGTGGGCTGGTTGGGCGTGGCCGGCCGATCGCCGAGGGTGAGTCACTGTGCTGATCGACGTGATCCGGCAGGCAGAGATGGCGAGCGCGATAGATGCGAGAACATCTCGAGCCATCAAGCGAGCGGGGCGATCGGCTGGTTGGGAGCTGGAGATGGCCGAGCGCACTTGGTACAGGCACTGTGGGATGCTCGAACTGTCCTTGAGCTCGGCTGATCGATGGGGATCATGGTCGATGTCGAAGCTGGTGTCCGCGTGAGGATGGATGAGGTCGAGCGCCATGCGGCTTGAGCCTAAGGTCTATCTCGGCAATCACTAGAACCGATGCGATGGCGATGGGTACTACATGTTGTGCGACTTTCACATCTGCTGGATGTGTGCCTGTAGGAAGGACGACATGTTGTGGTAAAGTGCGGATGCTGTGAGACAGGTGGGGCAGAGGGGGTCTCTGTGATGATGCTGATTGCGATCGGGGCGATGGCCGCGGTGGAGCGCCGATGAGCCTGCGGCAATGGCTACGACATGAGGTGAGGGGGTAAATGGTCATCGGGCGGTTGGTACTGGGGATGTGTGCCACGGACTGAGTACGTGGTTGTGACGAGCACTGCGATGCGAGTGCGTCATGGAGCGTGGCCACGACTGAGGAGTATGCGTGGATGGCTTTATCGACTGGCCAGTTGCTGGACAGCAGGCTCGTGACCAGCAAGCAGGTGATGGGATGGCTACCACACAACACACCGCTTCTACACGGATCTCCGCCAAGTCGACAACCCGTTTATCGGTCCCCATTCCGTACCCATGGCGGCAAGGTAAGGCATGTTAGCGTAGCAAGCAGAGCTGGATGCTTTTACGCGATCGAGGCTCGGTAGGAGGGCGTCCTTCAGGTGTGCGCAGACGAGAGTTGGGAACGACGCCCACATCCCCAGTAGCCCTTCCCGACGAGGATGCTATCAAGTTTGCCGA